GGGCCCGGCGAACCCTCGGCGCCGGTGAGTGACCGCCCGACCCGCCCCTCCCGGCCCGGAGCTCCCGCCCTCCGCGGCCCTGCCCGGCCGTGGGGCCCCGCCGCACCGGAGAGGGGCCCGCTGACCCCGCCCCGGGGCGCCCCGGGACCTCCCCCTCGGCTCTCGGGACCCCGCGATCCGCCCGGGATCGGCCCCGGGATCCTCCCTGGGACCGCCCCGCCTGTGCCCTCCCACCCCCCGTCCCGAGAGGCCCCGGGACCTTCCCCGGGATCCCCGGGTTCTGAGCCTCCCCTTCCCCCTCCCTCGCTCTGTACCTGAGAGCCCCCAGGGTCAGGGCCGCCCCAGACCTGTTGGGGACTCCTGAGATCCCGTTCCACCTCCTTTCCTGCCCCCCCGGTTCCTGAGAGCCCGCACAACCCTCACTGGGCCCCCCAGCCCTATGTGAGACTGCCCCGGCCCAGAGATCTCCCTTCCCCTCCCATTTTCCTGTTCTTCCATCCACTCCCGAGAGCCCCGGGGCTCTCTCTTGTCTCCCCCAGAGCTGCGAGGGACCCCCCTGAGCCGCCCTTATCCCCCTTTCCTGGCAGTGCCCCTCACCCTCCTCTCCTCAGAGCTCCCGAGACCACCCCTGGACCCCCAGGCCCTGCGAACCCCCGTTCCCTCCCCCCTGCCCTGATCCTGAGAGCCCCTGGGACCCTCCCTGGGCCCCCCAGCCCTATGGGAGACCCCCTGAGCCCCCCCCGAGCCTCTCCCTTTTCTGCCTCAGCCTGGGGGGGTCCGGGGGGCTGAGCCAATTCCAACCCCTGTTTCCTCTTTCCCTTGTGGAAGGAAGAAATGGATCAGTGGGATTGGGGTGTGTACAGGGGATGTGGAGACCCCTCTTGTGTCCCCCCATCCCGGTGGCCGCTCAGAGTCCCCCCTGCTCCATGACCATCAGAGATTCCACTGGTCAGCACCGCTGGGTGCTCTGGGTGTCTGGCCGAGGGTTTGGGGTCTTCAGACTCCCACTGTTGTTGTTGGGGGAGGCCAGGCCCCATTCTGGGGGGGTACACGGTGCTCCCCTCCCTGCCCTGTCCACCCTGCACGTGCTGCAGGGGAGGGTGATGCAGCAAAACCCACCTGCTCTGGGAGGGGGCAGTTTAGGGACACTGAAGGTGCTCACCTTCAGCCCAGAGACAATGGGGGGCTGAGGGGGGGCTCCTGGGGGGGTTTGACCCCTCTGTGAAGGCCGGGCATGTCCCAGGCTGGCCTGAGGAGTGTGGGGACAACAGGATGGACACAGTGGGGCACCGGGGGCATCCTGCCCTTGGCAGCCAGTGTCCCCCACTAACCTGGGGGGGATCCGTGCCAGGCTGGGGAGGGTCCTGCCCAGCTGGGAGACCCCCCGAGCCTCCCCCAACTTCACTCCTGGAGTGTTTAACCCCGGGACTCTCTCTCGGGGATTCCCCAGAGTGCATCTTGAGCACATCCCAGGGTGTGCAGTGGGATTGTGGTCGGGAAGGGGGCTGGGAGGGGTGTGCAGGTGAAGGCTGAGGTGCCAGTGAGACCCCCCCGTGCCCCCAGCCCCCGTGTCCCGTGCTATGAACGTTCGGCGTGACTTCTCCGCAAGAAGCTGCAAATGAAAATGGAGGATATGTCTTTGTCTGGCCTGGATAACAGCAAACTGGAGGTGAGCTGCCCCCCGTGGGGTCTGTCTGTCCCCTGGGGTGTCCGTGTGGGCCCCTTCCCTCCTTAACAGCCCCCCCTGGGCCCCCCAGGCCATCGCACACGAGATCTACACGGAGCTGGTGGAGGATGCCTGCCTGGGGCTCTGCTTCGAGGTGCACCGGGCTGTCAAGTGCGGGTACTTCTTCCTGGATGACACGGACCCCGACAGCATGAAGGACTTTGGTGAGCCCCTCAGGTCCCCCAGAGTCAGGGTGACGCTGATGACAGGGACACAACCAGGCCCCTGCTCCCAGAGAGGCCATGGGCGATCGGTGGTCCCCACGCACAGGGATTTGGGTTTGAGGGCTGCTGCTGAACACCCAAATGTCCCCCAGCAGTGACCAGACTGTCCCAGAGGGGTAAATGAGGGGGTCCCTGAACTCCTAAACACGGTGCTGGGGCCCTGGGGGGCACAGCTGGGGTGTGGGTGGGAGGTGGCAGAGACCCCCTGGCAGCACTGCCGCTGGTTTCAGCTCCCCCAGGTCCCGTTGAGGCTGTGGGGAGCGTCTGGCAGCCCCAGGGACCCCCCAGAGCAGCTCGGGGGTCCCAGGGCAGGGGCTGAGCGTGTCCCCCCGCAGAGATCGTGGACCAGCCGGGCGTGGACATCTTCGGGCAGGTGTACAACCAGTGGAAGAACAAGGAGTGCGTGTGCCCCAACTGCAGCCGCAGCATCGCCGCCTCCCGCTTCGCCCCGCACCTGGAGAAGTGCCTGGGCATGGGCCGCAACAGCAGCCGCATCGCCAACCGCAGGTGCGAGGGGCTGGGGGAGCCCCCCGTGGGGAAACCGAGGCACGGGGGGCCTGAGGCTGCCGGGCTCCCCTCCCTGTGGGGTGCTGTGCGTTTGGGCACCGATGAGCCCGGGATGCCAGTTCAGCATCTGGGTCTCCCCAGTCCTCGATGTCCATTGTGGGGGTGTCCAGCTTGGTTCCCCCCTGGAGCTCCTCTTGCTCCTCCCCAGCAGTTTATCCCTCCCGGGAGGATGAGCTGGGAGCCCTGGGTCCTCTGTCCCCAACCTGGGTGGCTCCTGGGGATCCTGTCTGGATCCCTGGGTGCAGCGGAGGGCGGGAGGGCACTGTGGGGCACACGGGACGGATCCTGGGGCTCCGTGGAGGACGTGGGGCAGACCCTGGCCATGATCTCCCTCCCCTCCCCGCTCAGGATCGCGAGCAGCAACAACCTGAACAAGTCGGAGAGTGACCAGGAGGACAACGATGACATCAATGACAACGACTGGTCCTACGGCTCCGAGAAGAAAGGTGGGGAGGGGTCCCTGGTGTCCTGAGGGGTGGGGGACACGTCCTGCCTGCCCCGTGGCCGCCGAGCCCCGGTCCTGGGTGGGTGTGTAGGGGCAGAGCAGCCGTGTGTGGTGGTCCCAGCCCTGGGGAGGCAGCAGCTCTGGGCTTGGGGCTGCATCCACTGGAAAAGGTCAAATCTTTCCTTTCTGTGTCTCTCCCCATAGCGAAGAAGAGGAAATCGGATAAGGTGAGGGGGTGAGGGGTGCGGGGGAGGGTGGGTGGGGGGCGTGGGGAGGACACAGGACACCCCCAACACCCCCCTCTCGTTGCAGAACCCCAACTCGCCCCGCAGGTCCAAGTCCCTGAAACACAAAAATGGTGAGGGACCCCTGGGCTGGGGCTGAAAACTGGGGAGGGGGCTCACACCATCGGGGCGGGGCATCGGCCTGGGGGCGGAGCCTGGCTGGGTGGGGCACGTGCAGGGGTGGGGTATTTGCGGTGGGTGGGGCACCCGCAGTGGGAGGGGCTTGTGGGGAGCCGGGGCTGTCCCTGGCCGGGGCCGGTGGCGGTGGGAGGGGGCCCTGGGGGTCCCGAGCTGTGGGCAGGACCCCCCTCACCTTTCCTCCCGCCCAGGCGAGATCGGCGGGAACCCCGATCCCTTCAAGGTGAGCCTGGGATGGGGGGAGATGGCTGCCAGTCCCTCCTCTGCCTCCCCAGGGGGCCGTATTGCCCCCCAGCTGCCCCCCAGCTGCCCCCAGCCCTGACCCTGCTCTGTGCCCCCCAGTACAGCAACTCGGCCGGCATCAACTACGAGACGCTGGGCCCCGAGGAGCTGCGGACGCTGCTCACCACGGTGAGGGGACGGGGCAGGAGGGACAGGGGGGCACCACCGGGGATGGGGCTGGCAGTGGTGACATGCAGCATGTCCTGATCGTGGGGCACCGGCTGCTTTGTCTGGGACACCAGGCTGGGGGGCCCCAGGGCTGTGATGGTGCAGCACAGCCCGGCGGTCACTCACCTGTCCCCCCCAGACTCACCTGTCCCTTCCCTCCCCAGCAATGCGGGGTCATCTCCGAACACACCAAGAAGATGTGCACCAGGTGAGGGTGGCCCAGCCTGGCCCTGCTCGCTCTGGGGGGCTCCCCGACATGCCCCCATCCCCGTGGGAGGGGGGAGGCCATCTCAGTGCCGTGTCTCGTCCCCAGGTCCCTGCGGTGTCCCCAGCACACGGATGAGCAGCGCAGGGCAGTCCGGGTTTACCTCCTCGGGCCTTCGGCGTAAGTGGCTGCAGACTCGGGGTCCCTGAGGTGCCGGGGTCACCGTCCTGTGGAGCAGGGACTGCACAGGGTGCTCGGGGGGGCTGGGGACAGGGACAGCCTTGGGGGGCCTGGAGGGGACGGGAGCCCGGGGCTGGGGTTGGGATTTGTGGCCCTGTGGGGCGGTGGGGGCTGGGCTGAGCTCCTGAGCATCCCCCTGGCATTTTGGGGTCTCTGTCCCCACCATCCCTCTGTGACACCTGTGCCCAGGTCCCTGCCCGAGGCCGAGGGCAGCGTGGAGAACGACAGCTTCGAGGTGGCCGAGAGCCAGGCCCTCATGAGCCGCCTGCAGTGGGACGGCTCCTCCGACATCTCCCCCTCCGACTCAGCCTCCTCCAAAGCCAGTGAGTGTTTGGGGCCCTGGGGGACAAATCCTGGGGCACAGAAAAATCCTGGGGCACAGATCCCTTTGTGTGGGCTGTTCTGGCATCTCCCCAGCACAAGAGGGGTTGAACAGACCATGGCTCCAAAGCCTGGAGCACCTTGTCCCCCACCTGAGAGGGGGAGGAACATTTTGGGGTACATTTTCTTGGGTGTTGACCAGAGTTGGGCATCATCCACTCTGTTTTGGGGCTCATCTCCTCCCTGACACCCCCATTTTTTCCTAGGTACAAACAACTCCGAGTCCCGCAAGACCAAGAAGAAGAAGCCCCACCTGGGGCTGGTGAGCGGTGCCCCAGGGCTCGGCTCCAGCAAGAAGAAGAAGCCCAAGCCCCCCGCCCCCCACACCCCCAGCATCTATGATGACATCAACTGAGCCCCGCAGAGCTGGGGAGGGGCAGGACGGACAGAGGGACAGACAGGAGCCAGGACAGCCCCCGGGCACCCCCAGGCCAGACACAAGGCGGGTACCGGAGCACAGAGGACTCGGCTGTCGCTGGAGTGGGGCTGGATTTGGGGAGCCCCATTAGTGCCCCCCTTCCTCCCCCTGCCCCCGTGCCTCTATTTATTCTGTGACAGTTTTTGTTCATGAGGTTCCCGTTGGGGCATCTCCCTCGGACATGGGGGTACAGCCCCCCATCCCTCCCAGCACCCCCAAAGCCAGCTGTGCCCCCCACACCCGCTCCTCACTTACCCACTGGGGTGGGGGGCACCTGGACACCCTGGGCAGGTCTGGGCCTGGCTCAGGGGGTTGTGAATCCCCCCTGCCCTGGGGTTTTGGGGTGAGCCCCCCACTCTGGAGCAGCCTCCCCTCCCTGCCCAGGGCTGGCACTCGCTGGTCGGGCTGGCTCAGGAGGGGGGGTCACACTGGAGGGGGTGTTTCACACTCAGAGGACAGGTGGGCACCCTCTCACCCCCAAATCTGCTCAGCTGTGCCTGCATTCAGCTCTTGGGGGTCTCGGGGGCCTGGCAGTGCCCACACAGGGGGGTCACAGGGGGCTGCATGCTGCATCCTTCATGTTTGGGGGTGGGGCTGGGGGTGGGGGGAGCTGCTGTGACCATCCCTGTGCCAAACTGTTTGGGGGAGGGGGACCCCAACCTGCCAGGGACCTCTGGGGGAGCTGGGAATGGATCAGAACGGGGGGGAAGCACAGCCCGGCTTCAGCGCAGGGCCCCCCACTCCTCATGTCCCCAGGACAGCTCTGCGCCTGCCTGGGGACCTGCTGCTGCAGTCGGGGGTCACTGGGGACCCCCACAGCTCTGGCATGTGTTTGCACCCCCCAGGCTCTGCTTTTGTTTGGGGGGGCCGGGACCAGCGCCCCGCTGTGCGGGCCGGGGGGGGACAGGTCCCTCTGGCTGGATCCAGGTCACCCCCTGCCCTGTGATCCCCTCCCCTCCCCACAGCTGTTCTCCACCGCAGGGGCTGTGCTGGGACAGGGCTGTCGCCCCCCATGGCTGTCTGACCCCCCCATTTGGCCATACGGCCCCAGGGGGGGCCGTGTCTGTCCCCCCAGCCCGGTGCCGTGGCTCATCCTCTCGCTGGGACTCACAAATTTATGGTGCTCTCGACTCTGGATTCACTATTGTTTTCAAACTGCTGCTAAAGGCTGGGCTGGGGGGGTCCTGCAGAGCCTTGGGCACCTCAGAACGCTGCAGGGCCCCCCCCACTGCATGGGGACCCCCGTGTGGTCCCTCCTGCTGTGGCTTTGGGGCTGGGGGCTCTGGCCACCGGAGCATGCCAAGCTGGCCTTCGCGTGCCCCGGGGCCGAGGACGGGGCTGTGGGCACCCAAAACACGGGGGGACCACCCCAACCTGCCTGGGGGGGGGCACGGTGAGCTGGGGGGAGGCAGCCTGGGCCCCGTCAGCTGCGGGAGAGCCGCTGCAATTTGGGGTCCAAGGGCTGCAGTGGGGCTTGGGGGGGCTCAGACCATGCCCTGTGACCCCCCCCCAGCTCGGTGTCCTCGCCACCCCCCCGGTGTTTCTGAGTGTCCCCCCCGCGGGGGAGCTGAGCCCTTGTGAGGTCTGTGTGTCCCGTGCGTGGGTTGTGGCTGCCCCTGTAAATAAAACTGCATCTTGACTTGGTATCCCTGGCATTAATTATGGCTCATTATTAATTAATTAATTAATTATTAAGCAGGGCCTTTACCCCTCCCATCCATCTCCCCCCACTCCATTCACCACGGGTGGGGCTGGATTTGTTTCTATAACCCCCCTAAAAGCGTGGGTGGGTGGGAAAGAGCAGCCCCCAGGGCAGGAAGGAATCTCTGGGGTGACTTGACACCCTTTATTTGCTTGGAAAAGTCCTTAGGAAGAAGCCATAGCCCGTTCCAGTGCTGTCCCACTCCCCCGAGCTGGGATTGGGGCTGGGGGAGAGGGAATGGAGTTTGGGGGGGGGGCACAGCCCCTTTTTAGGGGGTAAAGTCCGGCAGCAAGGCTGGGCCACAGGGACAGCGCGGTGCCTCCGCAGCCCTGCGCGCCTCACCCCGCCTGTCCGTACACCCCGAAGGCCAGGAAGGTGACCAGGACGGTGACACCGATCAGGGACACGGTGGCCGGGGCCGTGAAGAGCTGCCGGTAGTTGATGCGGAAATACCAACCGAGCGCCAGCACCACCATGACCGTGGGGACCATGAGGGTGCCCCCGGCCAGGGGCAGCCCCGGGGCCGCGGGACCGGCGGGGCCGGGCTCGGGCAGGGCCGGGGCGGCCGCGGAGGCTCCCCGGGAGCGGTGGCAGTGGATGACACAGTTATCGGTGATGCGCAGCGAGCGCAGCGTCCGCGCCTGGTCCTGCAGCAGCTGCCCGCGGTAGATGAGCTTCATCTGGCTCTCCTGGCCCGGGAAGTATTTGCTGCGGGAGGAGGGAAGAGGTTGGAGGTGGCAGAGACGGCGCTCACGGACCCACCCGGGGTGGAAACGGGGAGGTGACAGCGATGGCACTGCCACCACGCCACCGCCGTCTCTCTTAAACTCGTTGTTTCAAAACCCACACCCCTCGGTATTTTTGGCTCAGCAAGAGGGATAAAAGCCCTCCCCCGTTCTGTGGGAGGGGGCTGTTTGCAGCGGGGGCCGCCGACCCGGCGGCGCTCCCGGTGTCCCCCGTTCCTCGGGACTCACCTCTTGAGAATCCCCACGGTGTCCTCGGGCCGGGCCACTGCCACCTCCTCGGTGTCGTTGAGGAACTTGAGGCGGATCTTGATGAGGCCGGGGCACGCGTCCTCCCCGCCGGGGGCTCCGGGCTCAGCCGGGCCTTGCGACAAGCTCGGGACGTCCAGGAGCGGCTCCAGGCCGGCACCGGGGGCGCTCCCGCTGTCCCCCGGTGCCGCCGCCCCCCGTTCCTCCTCTGTTTTCTCCTCCGCGTTTTCGGGGGCTCTGGGGGGCTCCGGAGCCTCGGCCGCCCCCGCGGGCCCCGCGTAGGGCGGGAGGGGCCCGAGGCGGATCACGGCCGCGTCCCCGGTGCCCAGGAGCTGGCTGCTGCCATCGGCCACGTACGTGGACAGCCAGGCCAGCACCAGCGCCAGCACCAGCACGGCCACCCCGGCCACCAGCGTCACCTCGTCCCCCACCCCCAGGATGAGGGGGGCGGCCGGGGGCTCCATCTCCGCCACGGGACCTTTATCCCCGCCCGGACCTCCCGGTGCCCGGTGACCGAGCTGGGCGGCGGGGACGCTCGGGGCTGTCCCGGTGCCCGGCGGGAGCTCCTGCCTGCGGATTTTCCTCCTCGCTCCCGAGGCACCGAACCGGCAGAGCTGCGCTCACCTTACCGGGCCGGGCGGAGGGTCCGGGGGGTACCGGAGGGTCCCGGAGGGTCCCGCAGCCCCTCGGTGCCCAGCGGAGCAGGGTCAGGCCATCCCCGACCTGGACAGAGCAGAGCGATGCCGTCAGCGAGGCCCGGGCACCGCGGGGCGGGAGGAACCGGGAGAGTCCCGGTGTGTCCCGACCGGTGCCCGTATGTCCCGGGGGTCCCGACCAGCCCCGGGGGTGCCGGTGTGTCCCTGCCAGCCCCGGCCATCCCGGGGGGTGCCGGTGTGTCCCTGTCAGCCCCCGCGGTCCCGGAGTGTCTCTGCCGGCCCCGGAGGTCCCGGTGTGTCCCCGCCATCCCCGGGGGTCCCGGTGCCCCCCCCACTCACCGCCTCCCGCCGCCGCCGCCCGCGCGCCGGAAGCGCCACGTCACACGGCGCCGCCGCCAGGGGGCGGGAGGGGGCGGTGGGCGCGCGAGCGCTGCGTCACGGCCGCGCCCAATGGGCGTGTCCAAGGGGCGGAGCCATAGGCCACGCCCTGAATGGGCGGTCCCGTGAGAGGGCGGGGTCGAGCTGTGGGCGTGTCCAATGGGGGCGTGGTCACGGGCGCGGCGGGACGTGGCCGCAGGAACATCGTGGGGACCCCGGGCTGACCCCCCCAGCGGGGCCTGCCCAGCACCGGAGCGGTCACCGCGCGGCCGCGGCCGTCACCCCCTCCACGGCCCCCACTTCCTCCAGGGTCCATCTGTCCCCTTCCTGCCACCTGTGACCCCCTGGCTTTGTCCCCCCTCATCCCCTGTCCCCCCTCATCCCCTGTCCCCACCGTCCCCTGTCCCCACAGCAGTTGCCATTGCCCACCCTGCGCCCATAGGGACAAAGACGCCTCAAGAGCCACCTCTGCCATGTCCTTTATTGTCACCAGGGCACGGGGGGGGGGACACAGCAAGTGGACACTAGTGGGGGACATGGAGGGGACACATGGAGTGCCCTCAGGAGATGAGACCCTCGATGGGCAGCTGGAGGTAGCGGCGCAGGGAGGGGGGCAGTGCCAGTTTGGGGACAGCGGTGTGACAGCGGGTGCCCAGGTGACGCCGGATGGCCACACGCGCCAGGTGCTGCAGCCGCCGTGGCCGCCCCGCCATGTGCACGGCGGAGGCATAGAACTCCCGGTGCTCCTGCGTGGGGGGACACGGGGGTCAGTGAGCTGGAGCTGGGACACGGGCACGGCCCAGGACACCCAGGACACCCCAGGACACCCCGTTACCTCCCACAGCTCGGGGGGCACGGCCTCCACCCAGCCGTCGGCGGGAGGAACGCGGTCGTAGGCGTTGAGCATCACCTCCAGCGCCGGCGGGTGCTGGCAGCACAGCCTGAGCATCTGCCAGCAGAGCCGTGTCACCGGGGCGGGACACCGGCACCGCCGGCACCCCGTGCCCCCCGCCACCCCCGTCCCCCACCTTGGGGTGCGCGGGGAGGGCGCCGTGGTCGAGCAGGAGCGCGATGGTCTCCTCGGGCTGCTGCTCCCGGTACTCGCGCACGGCGTGGAGGGCGCAGTCCATGGGGGTGTCCCCGGCGCCGTTGGGGACGGTGGCGTCGGCGCCGTGGCGGAGCAGCAGCCGGGCCAGCGCGGGGTGCCCGTTGGCACAGGCGTTGTGCAGCGGCGTGTGCCCCTTGCGCCCCGCGGCCCCGGGGTCGGCGCCGGCCGCCAGCAGCCGCTCGGCCACGCGCAGGAAGCGCTCGGCGTCCTCGGGGCGCTCGGCCGCGGCGGCCGCCGCGTTCAGGGGGGTCTCGCCCTGGTGGGTGCGCTGGGAGGGGTCGGCGCCGTGGTGCAGGTACAGCTCCACGTGGGCCACCAGGCCCTGGCGCGCCGCCACGTGCAGGGCTGTCACCTGGCGGTCACGCGTGCCCAGGTTCACCTGCGCCCCGTGCGCCAGCAGCAGCTCCGCACACCTGGAGCGGGCCGGAAGGGTGAGGGGACACTTCGGAGGGACACGGCACCCAGGGGACACGACCGGGACATGCCAGGGAGATGTGGTTCCCGCGGGACACCCCTAGGGACACGCTCCAGGTCATACTGGAGCCCTGGCTCCCATGGGACGCCCGCAGGGACTCCCCGGGGCCCCTCCCAGGACACCCCACGGGCCCTCGGCTGTGGGGCAGGAATGACGATTTCACGGGCGGGGCCCCTCTTGCAGCTGAGCCGCCCCCCACGCAGGAGCCCCCCTTACCTGAGGCTGTGGGGCGCGGTGCAGAGGTGCAGCGGGGCCGAGCCGTCGGCGCTCAGCACGTTGGGGTCGGCCCCGAAGGCCAGGAGCAGGCGGGCGCAGTTGGGGTGGGGGGCGGCCGCGCTGTCGTGCAGGGGGGCCCGGCCCCCCACCACGGCGTCCACGGCCGCCCCCCGCAGCAGCAGGTGCCGGGCGCAGTCCTCGTAGCCGCGGGCGGCGGCGATGCGCAGGGCGGAGGTGTGCTGCCGGCGGGGGCTCAGCACCCACAGCCCTGCGGGGTCAGCGGGCACCGGGGGCTGCCGGACAGCACAGCCTCCGCTGGACCCCCCCCCAGCCACCCACAGCCCTGCCGGAGCGGAGGGAGCAGTGGGGCGCCCGTGGGGGCTGCCCTGAGCACCCACCCTGCCCCAGAGTCCCGACACACCGCAGCAGCCAGCCCGGCTCCTCCGGCCCGGCTCCTCCGGCCCGGCTCCTCCAGCCCGGCTCCCCTTTTCCTGGTTCCCCTTTTCCCGGCTCCCCTTTTCCTGGCTCCCCACTTGCTTGGCAGGGGAACGGGAGGGAAGGGAGGGGAACGGAAGGACCCCTAGTCCCCCCCAGCCCCGTACCCTGCTCCGGTGACCACACCAGCTCCTCGCTGACCATCTCCAGCACCAAATTCGCGGCGGCCTCGTCCCTGAAGATGCTCTGGACGCGGGGCAGGTCCCCGGCGTAGAGGGCGTTGTGCACGGCGGGGTCCCGGCAGAACTGGCGGCGCCGGGGGGGGCTCGGGGGGGCGCGGGGGGTCCCGGGCAGGGAGCGGCGTGAGGCCGATTGCCGGGCCAGGGCTCGCCGCCGATCCTCCCGCTCCAGCAGCTCCCGCTGCAGCCGCAGCGAGCGCAGCGCCGAGGAGCTGAAGGCGAAGGTTTCGTGGGCCATGGGAGCCCCGGGAGGGTGGGGGGGATCCGGGGGACAGCGAGCGGCGCCCTCCCGGGGGGTTATAAATAGGGCTGTGCCCCACACACGGATGTGGAATCAAATCCCAGAGCCAGGGGCCCTATAAATAACTCCTGGCTGGTAAACAGAGTCACGGGGTGCCGCGGAGTTTAACCTGTTGTGGGTGCGAGGTGCGGATGTCCCATGGGGGGAATCTGGGCCCCCCAGCCCTGTGAGACCCTGGGGGGAACGGCCCCTCCTGCGCAGGGGGAGCAGGGACCCCCGGAGGGGACAGAGGGGTGACACACGAGGACACAGGTGATGCAGAAACAAAAGAGCCCTTTAATGCAGGTTTGGGAGCGAGAGGGGCCGGTGTGCCCGGAGCAGCGGGGACAGCGCTGAGCCCGCGTCCCCCCCGGGTCTCCCCAGCTCTCAGCTCCACAACAAACAGCGCAGACACGCAGAGACAGGAGCAGGAGGGTGGCAGGTGTGTCACCTGCTCCCCAGCACCGTCACCCTCACAGCAGCTGCTGGGCTCAGCCGCAGTCAACCTGAGCCGGGGCTGAGAAGAAATCCTCGGGCAGCTCTCCCAGGAGCCCGTCCAGGTCATCTGCACGGCACAGTGGGATGGGATCCGTGAGTTTTGTGTGGGAATCGTGGAATCGTTCAGGCTGGCAACCAGGCCCCGTTTTCCACAGGACAGGGAGCTTTTCCTCTCCTCTCAGAGTGGGTCTGACTCACCCGTGTCACATCCATCAGCTCCCACCGGCTCTTCCCAGCTGGGACCAGAGCTCGGTGGGCACAGGGAGGAGCCCCCAGGATGCTGCTCTGCGCTGTGTCCACTTGTCCTCGACTGTCCCCAGTCCTCAGGAACAGGGACACCCTGAGGGGGCTGCGCAGGGGGGTCCGGAATCAGCTCAGCCTGGGCAGGGACCTGCAAAACCCAGTGGGGGATGAATTACTGGGGGATTTAACCACCCCTCCCCCTTTCTCTCGGGGGTCCCCATAGCCCAGACCCCCTTGGGGGGCCCAGCAGCCCCCAGGGCCACCAGCAGCCCCCCCTCACCTGCCGAGGGGAGCAGCCCTCGGGCTCAGGCGGGAAGATGCGGAGGAGGTTGTTGGGGGTCACGTTGAGGTAGTGGTTGCGGTGGGAGGGGGAGAAGACCCCAACCTGCAGAGGGGGCAGAGCCAGCTCCAGCTCCCGCCTGCAGAGCAGCTCCCCAAAGCTACAGCTCCCCATTTATGGAAATTTTAGGATGAAGGGTGAAATGTTAGGAATAGTTGAGAAAAATCCGAGGTGCAAAACTGTGGGAGATCCTTTTCTTGTATTTATATTTGCAGTCCCAGGGTGCTATGGAATGGGAACGGGGATGCACCACACGAACGCACGAGTTCCTCTTACCCCCTTATCCCAATATTTACATTCAGTTCCGGGGGTTGGGAACAGGTGATGTGCTGGATCACCCCCCAGCAGTCCCCCCAGCTCTCCTCACCTGCCTCAGGAGCAGCACGGAGCCGGCTCGGAGCTCGCTCTGCCTCTGCTCCAGCAGCAGCTGGTGCACCGTGCCCTGCATCTCCCCTGGCAACGAGGATGGGACCTGTGAGCCCCGGGAGTGACAGGGGGAGCCCCTCTGGGGCACAGGGACTGCCCCACTCACCCGTGGGGTCCCGGAACACGGCGCCAGCGCCGGCGCTGCTCCTGGTCAGGGTCTTGATCATCACAGCCATGCTGGGGACCTTGTTTTTTGGGAGCTGCTTCAGGGCTGCCTGCACAGCACGACAGGGATTTTGGGATAACCTTGGGCAGGGCTGGGCGTTGAACCCTGTGATTCCTGTGGATCCCTTCCCGTGTGGGATATTCCAAAATCCTACAACCCTCGTCACCCACGGGGATGTGGGTGTCTGTGCCCAGCTCAGCTCAGCCCCCTTCCCAGCCCTAAAAGCAGCTCCGAGGGGTGAGGGAAGAGCAGAAGCCGAATCCTGGGCCGCCCTCACCTTGCGGAGCACCATAACCACGCTGTAGGTGTGGAGGAAGCAGCTGGGATCTCTCTCATCCAGCCCCAGCTCCATCTTCATGGCCAGCCAGGGCCCCTTCCCGAAATCCTCCTCCGTGGGCAGCGGGGAGCTGGGCAGTGCCTGGGGTCGGGGACATCCACGGTCACCCAGCCCAGGGGCTCCCTCCCCGCTCAGCATCCCACTCTGGGAGCCCCAGCAGCACCGGTGGGATTCCCACCGGGATCTGCCGGAGCAGGGGGGGACAGGGGGGTTACCTGAGCCCGCGGCTTCGCCACAGCCCCGTGAGCCGGAGCTTGGGGAGCAGACACCAGGATCTCCTCCAGCAGCTTCCCAGAGTGCTTGTGGGACAGGCAGAGATGTCCAGGGATCTGCTTTGCTTCATCGGCTGCTGCCATCCCATCCTATCCCAGCCCACATCCCATTCCCGTTCCCATCCTGTGCCCACCCACTGCATTCCTGACCGCATCCCCATCCCTATCACATCTTTATCCCCATCCCCATCCAATCCCACCCTCATCTCTATCCATCCCCATTCCCATTCCCATTCCCCACCTGCTGGGGCAGGATCCCGGCTGGCCCTGGGAAGCGCCGGCTCTCCCTGCGTGGGGGGGCTCGCGGGGGTCCCCCGGGGGCTTTGCTGGCCGCTGTCACCAGCTGCACCAGGTGGTTGGTGACCACCGGGGGCTTTGGGGGGCCGGGAGCGTTGGGAGCCACGGGGGGATTTGGGAAGCTGGGGGGCTGCTGGAGCGGAGGCCTCGGAGGCTCCACGGAGCTGGGGGGGCCTGAGGGGGGTCTGGGGGGCAGCTGGGGCTGGGGGCTGCTCTGTGCTGGGGGGGTCCAGGGCACCGGGGAGCTGCTCCCTGCTCGGGGTGCTTGGACAGGCCTCATGTACGGAGCCCTCGGAGCAGGGATGGAGCCTCCGGCGCTTCCCGGCTCTCCCGCCGAAGGGGAGGGTCTGGGGGCGCAGGCACCGGCCGCGCTGGGCCGCAGCACCAGTTTGGGACTGGGGAGGGGGCCCTGCCTGTCCTGCAGCCCCCTGGAGCTGGGGACCAGCTCCTCTCCCACCCGGAGCTTTTTGGGGATCCCACATTCCTGAGCGTTCTCCTTCCCTGGGCACTTCCACGGCGGCTCCTCGCAGCGCCGGGGGGGCACCGGGGCAGCGCCGGCCGCCACCGGCACCTCGGGAGCCTCCAGCTCCCTGCAGGCGGCCAGGAAAAGGGCATTGTCCAGCTCATCCTGGGGCGCTGCTCCCCAGCATGGGGGTCCCTGGAACCCCACGGGACGCTCACCCTGCCCAGAGAGGGGCCGGAGGGCGGGGGGGTTACTGGGATGGGGTTCACTGGGATAGGGTTTACTGGGATGGGGTTCACTGGGATGGGGTTTACTGGGATGGGGTTCACTGGGATGGGGTTTACTGGGATGGGGTTCACTGGGATGGGGTTCACTGGGATGGGGTTCACTGGGATGGGGTTCACTGGGAGGAACCGGGATGATGCTGGCTGAGGAATGCCCGGGGATCACAAACTGGTTCTCTGCATCTTCCACAGCGGAGAGGAAATCCTGTGGGAAAATAAACGCCGGGAATGCAAAGGGCTCCGTGTGTTCCCGGAGCTCAGCCAGGGGGGACCAGCACGGCCCGGCCGCGCCTCGGGGGGGCCCCAGGTCACTGGGGGGTCCCTCACCTCATCCTCCAGCTCCCCGCCGCTCCCAAAAAGCTTCTGCAAGTGGCAGGACTGCGGGAAAAAGGGGAAGATGGGACTGGGAGGGACACAACAAGCTGGGGAGCCCTCGGTGGTCCCGGAGGTCCCCGCCCTGGGGCGTTCGGTGTCACCGAGGGCCCCCGGAAGGGCCCCGCACCTGCCCCCCCTCACCGCGCGGGGCCTTCAGCGATCCCTTTGTGGGGGCCCTCCGCGGCCCCGCCGTGGAGACCCCAGATCTCTCCCAGGGGACCCCGAAACCGTCTCCGTCCCCCCGTCCCCGTTACCATGGCAGCGGCGCGACCCCGGCCCGGCCCCGGAGGCGGAAGCGGCGGGGCCGGGACTCGAACCCGCGGTCCCCGGGGCAGGGGCGGAAGTTCCCCTGCGGCGCCGCGCGCCCCCTGGCGGCGGGCAGGAAGCGCAGCCACGCCCCTTAAAGGGCCACGCACCCCCTTTCCCCGCGCGTGTCACATGTGCACACGCGTGTGCCCCCGCGTCACCCGGCCGAGCCCCGCGGCGCCGCCGGTGACTCAGCGCGGCCCCGGCCCGGTGTGATTCATCCCCGCACGCCCCCGCGGCACAGGCTGAGTGACCCTCCCACCCCCTGGGCCTGCTACACCACACGCATGGGCACGCGCGTGTGTCCGTGTGTGTCCCGCGTGTGTGACACGCCGATGCGCGGCTGCTCACGGGCACACAGCACGCGTGTGCCCCGCGGAGCGTCTCCCACCTGGCCTGCTGCACACGCGTGTTCACACCTGTGCTTTCGTGCACTCGTGTGCAGGAGCGGCTGCACAGCGAGCGCCTGGGCGTGCACACGCGTGTGCGAGGCAGCACAACAGCCTGTGGCACGCGTGAGCGCGCACCACGGCCCAACACCCCGCCATGCACACGTGTGTGCCCTCGTGCATTCATATTTGTGCGCCGCTGCACACTCACTCACTCTCACTCACACACACTCACACTCACTCACACTCACTCATTCACACTCACTCATTCACACTCACTCACACACACTCACACTCACACACACACACACACACACACTCATTCACACTCCCGTGCCCTTGCACACTCACGCACCATCACACACCCACACCGTTCCACACTCGCCCTCCCCGCGAGCCTCTTTAAAGCCCAATTAGGCCCCGCCCCCTGTTCGGCCCCGCCCCCTGTTTGGCCCCGCCCCTTTAGGGGAGGGGGTCGTGCACGGGTCTATTTTTAGCACCGGGCGCCGTCACGTGACCGCGAGTGACGTCACCGAATGTTGTTGTCGGGGCGGGCGGGGCCGCGCGGCGAAGATGGAGGAGGAGGCGGGGGGGCGGCGGGGCGCGCGCCGGGCGGCACCGGGGGGACCCCAGGTACGGGGGCACCCGGGCGGGCACCGGGACCGCGAGATCGGGGCGGGGGCCCGCGGCGGGGGGAGATCTGCGGTGCCGGGGTGCCCCGCGCGGCTCCGGGGGGGGCTCCGTGCAGTAGCGGGGGGGCTGCGATCCCGGAGGTCCGGTGCGGTTCGGGGCGGGGGGGGTCTGTGCGGTGGGGATGGGATCGAGTGCGGGCTCGTTGTGCGCTTGGGGGGCGCGGGGGTGAGGGGCTTTGCGCCGTGCGGAGCGGGGGGGGCCCGCAGTGGGGGACCCGTGTGCGGATTTTGGGGGGCTGCAGCGGGGGGGCCCCGCGCGGGTCAGGGGCTGCAGCGGGGCCCGGTGCATCCCGCGGGAGGGGTTGCGATAGGGATCCCTGTGCGGTTTGGGAGGGGCTCCGGTTGGGGGCCCCGCTGCGGGTCGGGGGGGCTGCAGTGGGGGTCCCGGTGCGCTCCGCTGCGGGAGCTGCGAGAGGGGTACCCGGTGCGGCTGGGGGGGTCCTGTGCGTTCCGGGGTCCCGGTGCGGCTCGGGGCGGGAGAGCCCGTGCAGGCGGAGGGGGGGCCCTGCAGTCCGGAGGGGCCCTGTGCAGTTCGGGGGAGCCCTGCAGTTTCGGGGATCCCGCCGCGATTTGGGATCTCTCTGCGGTTCGGCGGGGCCCTGCAGCGAGCGCTCCCGGCGCGGCTCGGGGGTCCCGGTGCGATGAGCTTTGCACCGTGCAGTGGGGGGCTCCGCGTGCGCCCGGGGGGCCCTGCGGGTTCGGGGTTCCCGCAGTGTCGGGGGGCCCGTGCGCCAGAACGGCGGCGGCTCCGCAGCGCGGCCGGTCCGCGGGCGGGGGGGCCGGGGGGGCCCCGCTGCACCGCGCCGGGCTCGGCGCCGCCGGCAGCGCGAGTGCCCCGTGCCCCCCCGTGGGGTCCGTCCCGCCGCGTGGCCCTCAGGGGTGACACCCCCAGACCCCCGGATCGCGGCGATGCCTCGGTTTGGGGGGGTTACAGCACCGGGGACATCGCGGGGGGGGCAGCGTGTGTCCCCCCTGCACTCGTGTCCTTATGGGGGTCCCATCCGTGTCCCTGTGGGGTGGCACGGCCGGGGGGTCCTTCCCAGCTATCGCCCTGGGCTCCCCCTCTGCGGAGCCCCCCCCTTTTCCTGTGTGGCGCTGCCGACCCCCCGGGTCCCTTCTGGGGGTGTCCACAGGCCCCCCCACCCCGGGGGACAGCGGAGGGGAGCGGGGCCACATCCTGCCCTGGGTGGGTGCTCAGGGGGGCTCGGTGCGGGCCCCGCCGGATGCTGGGGGCGGTTTTGGGGGTCCCGGGGTGCTGACAGGCGCTTGGTCCCGCAGGGCTCCCGGGCGGCGCGGGCACAGCCCCGGTGCCCCGGCCGGCGCTGACGGACACGCGCCTCTGCGAGCCCCCCCGGCAGCCGCCGGCCACCATGGACCCCCAGAGCGACACAGGTGAGAGCCCGGCCCGGGGGGCTGCACCCCCTGGGCACCGCAGCGAGTGCCGCTCCGCACGCCGCGGTCACCGCCGTGTCCCTCCTGCGGCCCAGGAGCCCCTCGGGGTGCCTGCCACCAGATATCGGGGGGCCGCAGCAGCGTTCCACCCGGCAGGGCACGGCCCTGGGGGTGCCCGGGCTCCGGGGGGCACCGGGGCCGTGCCGGCCACCCCCTCCCCCGGTTATCCCAGCCCGTGCCACCGCCCCCTTCCCGGTGTTCCCAGAGCCCGGCATCCTCCTGCTGTGAGGGGAAACTGAGGCACGGCTCCTGTCACCGGCGTGGCCCGGCTCACACGTGGCTCTTTATGCCACCGGGGGCCCGTCCCCGCGGCCCCCTGGGGACAGCCGTGGTGACCACGAGGGCCGTGCCCCAGGTCCCGCTGGTTCCCCGGCAGAGCCGCCCTGTAATTATCCCGCTGGGAACTCCGGCGACATCTGGACGCGCTCATGTCCCCTCCCCGAGGGGACACGCGGCAGCGCCGACACCCGCGGCCTCTGGAGGGGAAACTGAGGCCCGGGGCGGTGGCAGCGCCCCGTGTCCCGCTGGAAGGAGTCGCCGCCGGTTGGGGACGGGGGTGTGTGTCCCCTCCGTCCCCGGCCCCCCCGAGCCGCCCGCCGGTATTTTTGGAGCGGCCGCAGGGCTGGAGCGTCGCCCGGCCGGTGCCTGGCACGGGGCTGGCACGCGGCGCGGTGGCACGGGGACACGGTGGCACGGGGACACGGCCTGGCCGCCTCTGCCGTCCCCGGGCCACTTTCCTTGGGGTCCCGTCCCGGCTTTGGGTCTGTCCGGGGGGCTTTGGGGACCCCTCGGGGGTGCTGTGATCTTGCGGCCGCAGTGAGGAGCCGGACAGGTCTCAGCCGGGCCATCGGGGATGTGGCACCCCAGCGGTCCCCAGTCAACCCCCGGGGGCTCCGTCACCCCCAGGGCTCCTTTTTCCAGCCTCATCCCAGAACCGGGGGGTCCCGCGGCTCTCGCTCCCCTCCTTCCCTCCCGGAGCTCCTGGAGGTCACCACTGCTCCCCCCCATATCCCTGAGGGTCCCCCAGATGTGCCACCACCTCTGGAGGGGCCCGCACGGGCCAGGTCCCCCCTCCGCCCTGCCATGGGAGCCGGGAGAGGAGCCTGGGACTGGGAACGGGGCTCCGAGCAGCGGGAAGGGAGTCCTGGAGCCGGGCCGGGGGTCCGGGAGCCGGGCCGGGGGTCCGGGAGCCAGGAGGGGCCATTCCCGCGGCCTCCTGCCCGCTGGCAGCACCAGAAATAGCCGGGCTGACGTCAAGCCCCAAAGCACCCCGGGGGGGGCAGCGGGGGGGGCGGGGGGTGTCCCAGAAATATCCCGGCTATTAAAAGTCTTGGCTTGGGATTAACGCGTGGTAAATAAACGTGGCGGTGCCGGGGGGGTTACGCACGGCCGGGGCAGCGGGGCCGGGGCGCTGGGGGGGGGTCCCCGTAACCGGGGGGAGGCCCCCGTCCCCAAAAGGGGGGGTTCCGCACCTCAGCAGTTTGTCACCCCCTCCACCCCCCCGGCTCGGCCCTGCGGAGCCGCTTGGGGTCACTGATCCGGTGGGAAACGCTGGGCTGGCATCTGTGCCCCCAGCCCCTCTTGGGGTGCTCCCGTTGGGGGAGTCCGGGGGTCTTGAGTGGCCTGGGGGGCCCGACCGCCTTCATTTTCCCAAAGCGGGGGCTAATCCCCCCTCGGCACATCCCAGGTTTTATTCCCGGCAGCGCTGATGCGGATTAACGTCCCCGGCAATTAGGGGGAAGTGGGGGGGTGGGATGGAGGTGGGGGGGGGTCGTGGGGATCCCAGTCCCCCCACAGCCTCCTCCAGCCAGGGCAGCCCGTGCCCCGCAGCCCCCGGGGCAGTTCGGGGGTGCAGCTGGGTGTCGGGGGGGGGGGGGGGGGGGGGGAGGGACACAGCGCATCCCCTCCCGGGATCTGTCGTGGCCCCCCCGGCACAATTCCCTATTTATAGCCGGCTCCTCCCGTGCGCCGGCTATTTCCAGGCGCCGGAGAGAATAGCCTGGATGGGGGGGGGCGTGGGGGGCCCTTCAGCCCTGCCCCGCCTGCAATGGGGGGGCCGCATTTGCTCCCATCACCCCAAAAAACGGGGGTGCTCTGTGACCCCCAAGCTGCATCTCCCCAGCCGGGGATTTGGGGAGCTGAGCTGGGTGTGGGGGTGCACGTGGCCCCCCCCCCCAGCCCCCCGCAGCTCCCAGCCCGTTCGGGGGGTCACGGGTGTCTCTCCGCAGAGGGGGGGTCCGGCCGCGAGCCCCCACTGGAGCTCCTGCCCCGTGTCCCGCTGCACGCTGCCCTGCCCGCCCCAGGTGAGTGGGGCCCGCCCCCCGCGCCCCCAAAACCCCCCGAGACCGCCCCAAACCCGCTGGCATCGACAGCGAGTCCGCGGGGCTGCGCACGGGGGGAGCTGCTGAACGCGAGGGTGCTCAGGTGTGTAAGGGGGAGAGCCCCCCTTGCACAAATGTGTGTGCAGGACAGCTGTGCAGGACAGCTGTGCAGGACAGGTGTGTAAGACAGGTGTGCAGGACAGCTGTGCAGGACAGGTGTGTAAGACAGGTGTGCAGGACAGCTGTGCAGGACAGCTGTGCAGGACAGGTGTGCAGGACAGGTGTGCAGGACAGGTGTGTAAGACAGGTGTGCAGGACAGCTGTGCAGGACAGATGTGCAGGACAGGTGTGCAGGACAGGTGTGGCAGGACAGGTGTGGCAGGACAGCTGTGCAGGACAGGTGTGCAGGACAGGTGTGTAAGACAGGTGTGCCAGAACAGGTGTGCAGGACAGCTGTGCAGGACAGGTGTGTAAGACAGGTGTGGCACCGCAGGTGTACAGGACAGGTGTGTAGGACAGGTGTGCACTACAGGTGTGCAGGACAGGTGTGTAAGACAGGTGTGCCAGAACAGGTGTGTAGGACAGGTGTGCAGGGCAGGTGTGTAGGACAGGTGTGCACTGCAGGTGTACAGGACAGGTGTGTAAGACAGGTGTGGCACTGCAGGCGTACAGGACAGGTGTGCACTACAGGTGTGTCAGGACAGGTGCTCCAGCCCTGCCCCCTGCCCCTCTCATGTCCCCATCCCACGGGACACCCCCATTGTGCCCACGGGCGCCTCTCTGGGGGGTCCTGGGCAGGGAGGGGTTAAACATCCCCTGTCCCTCTCAGGGTGGGCTGGTGGCCCAAAGCCGCCACTGAGCCCAGAGTGCCGGGCTGGCACCTCCGGGGGCTATTCCAGCCCCCCCGAGTGGCGCCCCCTCCTCGGGCTGGGTGCTGACACCCCCCATTGCACCCCGACACCCACCGGGGTCCTGGCGGGTTTGGGGGGGCTGCAGGAGCACCCCCAAGCGCCCCCCGGGAGAGGCGATACCCCGGGGCTGAACCGGGGGGGCTGCATGGCTCTGGGGGTGCTCGGGATGTGGGGGTGCTGCTGCTTCTCTTGGGGGGCTGTGTGACACCGGGGGGGGCTGGGTGGGCTTGGGGGGGGGGGTCTGTCGGAGCCGGGGGTGACGGTGACGGTGACGGTGGGGGGTCCGTGGTGACGGTGACGTCCGTGGGTCCGTGCGGGGACGCGTCAGTGCCCGACGTGCGGCCGGGGGAGGGGGCTGGGGGGGTTCATCACTACCGTGCACCGCGAGCCCCCCCCCCGCCCCCGCC